TATCAAAAAAGTACTCCAGAGTTTTGTTCAGCATGGGGGTGAGTAGAAAATGAAGGCTAATCATGTTTTGGGTGTACTATTCCTTTAAGTATAATTGCAACTTTCAAAAGTCTAAGGTGGGTCTTGAACCATCAACGTCAGGAGTGAAAGTCTTACTTACAGCTGGCATCACCAACATTGATTCAACAGAAAGCAATACTACTTAACACTAAAGTTAAAACTGTATCCAGCAGCTTGCTCAGATTTTGATCATTACATTGTTTAACTAAAATGGTTTTAACCAACTAGATTGATTGTTTTTCAATCAATCTATTCTTAGAATCTATCCATCCTGCTGACAGCAACTCTCCTACAAACTCTCACATCTTGACTGAATCCTGAAGCTGTTTAAATGCCTGTCAAAGTTATTGCACTTTCTGAACCATTTGCTGAAGCGGTCATGCGGTATCCCGGTAGTGAGGCTTCAGACGTCATCAATTTTGGCCCCTAAATGAATCACGCCTCGGAGAAACAACCCCTCCACTACTCGACACAGGCCTCGAAGCCTCGGCTCATCTCATAACATAACTAGCTCCTTTCTTAGTAACCCTAAAGCCAATAAACAATTGAAAATTATCTGGATTTAATAAAAATACAAAGAGGAACAGAGTTGAAGTAAATGAAATTACATATTGTCCATGATTAAACTTCCCACCTACCCTTTTACAGAGGTGCCCTCCCAGTGATGCCTCCAGCCATGTCTCAGATCAATGATCCAAAGATCGCCTTCGCCTATCTGCGGCCAGCCTGTGTCCTGCTCACCAAGGAGCCCACGCTGGCCAACGTGGAAACACTTAAGGAGCAGCTAGAACATGTCGATGAAGCTTCACTGCAGCAGCTCCAAGAGTACGTCCTCTTCCCCCTCCGCTTTGTCCTCAAAGTCCCCGGGCAGAAAAAGGAAAAGCTGGTCCAGGCTGTGGCTGAAGCAGTGAGCCATGTCCTGGAGAGGACTTGTGTCCGAAGCTGGGACACCCTCCATGACCTCTTCTCAGAGCTCTGCCTCTGCCTGTCCTCCCCCACAGACCCGGGGAAACCTGCAGAAACATCAGAGGAGCTGAAGTTAGCTGTTCTAAGGTGCTTGGATGCTCTGCTCCACGCTGCGTATGGCGACATAGTCTTCAGACTCTATGAGCCCATGATGCTTCCTGGGCTGGGCGCTGCTGTATCACTGCTGCTGGCTTTAGGAGAAAAGGACAAATCCAGAGATATACAGGCCGCGGCCTTGAAGTGCCTCCAGTCTTTGGTTCTGCATTGTAACTGCTCCCAGGAGCATGTTGTCCCGTCATCAGATGAGCGACGCTGTGTGGGTGGCACCATGGCCTCCTTCCTACCGGGGATCACTGTGGCTGTAGCAAGGATCATCAGCGGAGATCTGAGGCAAGGTCATGCAGTGACAGTCAGGGCCATGAAGGTAAAAAAAAATAAAAAATTCAAATGAATTTCATGGCTGATTTATTAAAAACAAATGCTGTAATTATCTAACCACTGTCCATGCTTTTGGTATCAGTTAACTCAAACACGTCCTAATTTAAAGGTTTTTTCACTTGATAATTGAAATAGGTTGACATGTTAGCAGTGTCTGTTGGTTTATAAAGGAGCACAAGCTAAAGTTAGAGCCCCTAAAACGTTGCATTATGCCACATTACAACACATACCTGGATTTTCTTTATAAAAATCAACTAAAAATGTAAGATGAAACAAAAAAAGATACATTTTTTTCGATACTTTTAAAAAACTGAATATAAAATTGGTTCTGCTAAAATGATTAATCAGATTAATCGCGATTTTTCTGCTATTTAAATAATCATCAATATATATAGATTTAAACTGTATCCTAAAGTATTATGACACCGAAAGAATAACCTACTTACAGCATTAAAGGATACAACTCTACAAATATAAACTTAAAAATAGTAAAACATACAAAAATATAAAAATAATTTCATTAAAGATACATTTTTCTACAGATACATGTATATATGCAAAATCTTTTATGTTTTGCCGTTTGCTATTTAATTAAAATGCACAGGAAAGTTTTTTTAATAAGAAATGAATGGAAAAAAATGTACAAAAAGTATTGTTTAGAATAACAGATTTATCAAAAACAATAAAAAATCAATCAGTTAGTATCCTGTAAGTATGTTTTTGCCATTTACATTTAAAATTCTTTTATTTATGTTGATTATAATAGAAAAACAACAACAACAAAAAAACAATATTCTAAGATATAACGATATTACAGGGCGCTGATCCCTTAATCATTCGAAAAGGAAAAACCGTCTAAATATCACAATCCATCTTTGTTTCTCTGTGTGCTACTTTGTGTTTGTCTGCCACAGTTTTAATCACAAGTAAATACAGTGAAACTTGACAAAATATGAACAAGTTCAGGAGCGTTGCATGGTTTTCACTGATTAGGAATCAAATTGCTGGTATTTTTCAGGTTTGGTCCGGGTCAGTGGGGCTGGTCATGGAGGATTCCCAGCTGCAGAGCACTGAGTCCGGTAAACCTCCTCCCCCAGACCTGGGTAGGATCACGCAGCTCATGGTCCAGAGGACGCCAGACTGGGTGAAGGGAACAGCAGGGAAGCTGTGTGTGCTGCTGAAGAAGATCATCTCCTGCACTTCAGCCCACGAGCACTGGAAGGTCAGGCTGGAAATGGTGGAGCTGGCCGACCATCTGCTGGCAGCGTGCGGCCAGTCGCTGAAAGAGTGTGTGGGGCCGCTCCTGGAAGCCCTGGTGGGAGCGATAAACGATAAAGAGCCCAGAGTCAGAGAGAGGTTTGTTTTCATGCTTTATTCTGTGAGGATGACAACTCAAGCCTCAGACTGATGCTCCATTCTCCTTCTGTAGGTGTGAGGTTGCTCTTAGAGATGTTTCACAGAGGAATCAGAGCAGCACAGACAGTAAGAACTTGACTGATGTGTTGTCTGAGAACCTCCACTCTTTAGCCACCTCCCTCCCTCGGCTGATGAGGACCTCTGACGACCAGAAGAAGCTGTTTGTCCTCAATGTGTTCCTTGGTTACCTGAAAGTCCTCGGGCCACTAGTCTCTGTGGTGCTAAACTCTGCTGCACACCTGGACAGGATCTCCAAAGCACTAATGCAGGTAACACATGAGGGCTGGGAAAGGAAAAAATAGCTTCTCTTGTATTTTTTGTATTCAAAACATTTGCTGAGGACTGAGAAGATGAAAGCTGATCCTTTTGGAAGGTTTGCTTCTGGTTCCATTTGGAAATCTTTAGACTTCTAAGCTACATTCAGACCACATGCAGCAGAAGCAGCAAAAACGCGCGTGCTGCTTCATTTTTGATGCTTGTACAAGTTAAGTTCTGAGGCGCTGCTGAAGCATCTTTGCTGCTCTAGCTGCGCGGTGGAAAAATGGGTGTGATGCGGGTTGGGCGGAGCTATCCTATCCTTTCTTTGCCTGTAATAAGTGCAGCTATATTTTCTGTAATCAGTGGGTAAAAAGTAGTTTTAATGTTTTTAAGTGAGAAAGTCCACCTGAAAACTTCTTCTGTGCAGTCAGTTCATGAAGATAACCGTACTGCCTTCAAATATGATTTCCTTGTCGGAGCGGCTCAGACCACCACATACCGGCGGTGCTCTGTCACTATAAATCCCCTTTAGCCTTTGGCCAGGTCGCCTCTTAGCAGTTTTCCGCTACTGTTAGGGGCAGCTGGAAGGCATTTTTTTATTTATAAATCCTAACTGCAGGCACCAGAATAATAAAATCAAACTTATATTAACGGCAGGTTTCGACATTTTAAGTTAATTTAGACGTAAAACTGTTTCATAGGAGTGATCATAGCGATATGCATCAGCAGTGGTTTGTTACTCTCCCAGATCAGCTTCTCTGATTGGTTGATGTGGTGCTTCGAGCAGCAAAAGTTAAATTTTTGCAGGGCATCATGCACGTCAGATGCTCAGAAGCTCATAAGGTGCTGCTCCTGCTGCTCAAATTGCTCTGCAGGACCTTTTCCTGCGGCATGATGCACGTCAACTATTGACTTTGCATGTAAACTAGCTGCTTCTGCAGCGTGCGGTCTGAACTTAGCATTAAATTCTGGAGTTGTCGACAGCTGTGTCAAATTGCTGCCTACAGACGCAGCCATGTTTGTTTGGCTCTACTGAATGAAAACTTTATTTTAAACGCTCCTAAAATCCTGGTAAGAGTCCGGTTGATATCTGTAGTTATCACTGCCGAGCTGCAGTCAATACCCAACATATATATATATATATATATATATATATATATATATATATATATATACATATTTTAGAAAACACAATCAGTATTTTTTTGTTGTTTTTTTTAAGCTGATTTTTTTAGGTTTCTGTTCAGTGTTTTTGCTTGGTTTTATAATTTAACTTTAACATTCTCTTATCTATGGCCTTTTTTGCATTTTGCAGGATTTCTCAATTAAAAATATGTATATTACAATTTTTTATGTTTTATGAGCACTCATTTATTTTTGCAAATGTTTAAACAACAGAAGATCCACCTTTACGTTTTTGGTGAAACACATCCAAATGGATAGGAACTGGCCTGGGAGGAAGTTCCCTGCAAGGTGGTCCTCTCACTCATCTTAATTGTCTACTGATGGTGGTCAGAGGGGCCCGGTGGCGCCAGTTTACGGCAGCCGCGCTTCTGTCAGTGAGCCCCAGGGCAGCTGTGGCTACAATGTAGCTTGTGAGTGTGTGAGTGTGAGTGTGAATGGGTGAATTAATGTAGTGTAAAGCGCTTTGGTCAAGTCTCCTGACTTGAAAAAGCGCTATATAAGTACAGGCCATTTACCATTTACTATTAATTATTAAATAAAGGACTTAATCCTTCATAATCTGTTGTTGAATAGAAAAGAATCGAATGATTGATGGTTTTTCTGTGTATAACTATCAATAAAACAAATTGTAATGTGAGGTTGATTAAGGAGAATGAGGTGGTAGAAGCCCAATGATGTGACGGATTAAACTGGAGGAGACGTCTCTATCTACTGCTTCTGGCGGGAAGCATGAGGGAACAGGCATTTATCTCACTGAGAGCCCTAGAAAGGGTTAAAGCTGTGCAAAAGACTCCCTGCTAATTCGTACCTGATGGAGGTGAATGATTTTATTCCCCCACATAGAACCAGGTTGATTTTCTTGGGTTTTTCACACAAGAAATGAAATTAGGGTTTTCCCCTTTGTTTGATATAAAAAATGACGTTAGATGATTTTATAACATTGAGATGTAAAAAAATAAAAAAGAAGAAACCTGTAGGGGAAAAAATCAACTGAAATAATGTCTCCAGGTATCGGACTTTACCTTTAAATTATGTTAATATAATTTATAACCATAATAGAGTGTTACACATTTTGGGTTCATTACCTACGTTCAGTTCCCCTTAGTAAATTTTTGTCTTTGTCAGTTTAATGGAGCATAGTTTTGTCTCAGTGAAGAGTAAAAAAATGTTATTCTTGTTTTATGTCCCTAATTTAAAAGTGCGATTTATTTTTCAACATTTTGTGCATTTCATTTATTGCATAAAACAAACCACTGTGAAAGAGGATTGAAACTGTCTTTGCAGGTTCTGGAGCTGGATGTGATGGATGTTCATATCGTGGAGGAAAGGAGCTACACTGACCCCATAGAGAGCACCTCTGGCCCCCATGACACCTCCACCGCTCACACCCAGAGGAAGCATTTCCTGTACTTCACAGATGAGAAGATCTTCTGCATGCTCATGGAAATCTGCAGAACTTTAGGTAACCATCATAAGCATTGATATCATCTATTTTTTCTTCTTTTTAAATTATTTATTTGAACTATGAAAATACTAACCTGACTCCACCAGATGGATTTGCTCCGCATATCCATCTGGAAACCTTCAGTTGAAGTAATTTTGGGAAGGGGCGAAAATACTGGTTAGCTGATTGGCCTATGTTGGTGATAGACGGGCCAAATAAACCAATCAGATCAACGAAGCATATGACGTATTAACAGCCAGGCTACTCTTGCCGAAACCAGTCAGGAGAAGAGCAAAAACATCTTTTCCTCTGAGAAAAGCCTCCAGAGCAGTGTTTTGCTCTTCTTTTAGTGAAGAAATACTCTGTAATTCCGATAAAACTTGCTCGATAGCCACGCTAAGGCTAGTTGCATCGGCTGAAGCCGCCATGTTCTTTAGACTGAACTGTCGCGCATCTCGTTGCGTCACACCTCAACCCGCCTCAAAGCCAACGCTGATTGGACGTTCGTTTGGTGAACGGCTCCAAATTTTCTTCAACGGAGAGTCTCCAGACTGACTAGCGAGCGAAATCTTGAAAGCTCGCGATATCAGGATGGTCTCACGAGGCTATGAAAATACAGCTTTAATGGACAAAACAGCAAGTACAAGTCCAGATCATTGCTGATTTTTTTTCCTAATCCACATTGGCTCAGAATTACACATGCAGGCTATTTTATGTAATAGTTTCCTTTTTATTTGTTTTTTTAATTTTGTATACTGTATTTTCTGAATTTTGTTTTTATTTTATTTTATTTGTTGTGCTTGCAGTTTAGCAAATTTAACTGTCTCATAATATTTTGGTTTTATAAATATGTATTTTTGTGTTTCTTGAGTGTACCATGTCTTTATAGCCTTTATTATCCTCATTTACTTTTTTTTTTTTGTTGAGCAATGTTATGAGTCACGTCTTTCTTATGTTTGTCCTCTAACTGAAAGAGGTGTCAAAAGTAGAGTTGCGCTGATGCCATTTCTTTGCCCTGATACAATACCTGGCTGGGCAATATTGGCTGAAAGCGATACCATCTGTTTGAAATTGATCTGTGTGTACATATATGAAGAACTGCATACTACTTTTTTTTTATTTTTGATATACTCTAATAATCCCAGAGGGAAATTACTTCTCTGCATTTAACCCATCCCCTTGGGGAGCAGTGAGCTGCCATTGTGAGGCGCCCGGGGAGCAGTGTGAGGTTAAGGGTCTTGCTCAGGGACCCAGAGTGGCAGTCTGTGGGAGTGGGGGATCGAACTCACAATCTCAGGTATGAAAGCCCTATGCCCTAACCACTAGGCTGCCACTCCCCTTGGATGTAGAATAATTGCCATCATGGCTTTGTCAAGCTGCTGCCTACCTTTGTGAAGCAGGAAAAAGACTAAAACAAAGTGAATCCAGTAGAACTTTTTATTGCCTACCTGGAATGGGTGACAATAGTTGAATAAACTTCTGGCTTTGAAAATGTACGGGTGTCCCGTCCGATACTGGTATCTGTATCGGTGCAACACTAGTCAAAAGTATTTATGTTTATTACACAAGTAGAATTATAAATCCTACTGTTTAAAAACACTTTTGTATAAGTTAGAGTATCAACTTAAGATTTTTACTCAAGTAAAAGTTTAAAAGTACAACTTTTTAAACTAAATGTATAAAAGTAAAACTAATGCAGGATGAATGTTAAGGACAGAAGCTTTAAGCCTTATACTGGTACCTGTGCTAACCTATTATTGGATGGTGACTTCCTTATACTTAATTTTCCTTCTATTATTAGTAATGGCAACAGTGGCAAATGTAACTTTCCATCCCCACACACACCAAAATAAATAGTTTATTCTTTGACTATTACAAAGAAATTAATTGTCTGGATAAAACAAATGAATTTATGTTTTTTTTGTTTTGTTTTGTTTTTTTTAGACACTAACAGGTGATCATGAATATGAGCTTAAATGAAACAAAACCAATGGGTCTATTTTTAAAATGTAAGGAGCAGAAAAAAGAGATAATTGCAAAAACTGTAAGGAGTAGAAGTCAAAAGTTGTCTAAAAAATAATTAATCTGGTAAAGTATAGATGGCCAAAATTACTACTTAAGAAAGTTAACAAAGTATTTGTACTTTGTTTATTGACACCTCTGCTAACTCACTCAATTTCTGATTATTTTATTACTTTTTCCTGTTTTTCCTTCTTTTTATTTGCACAAGATGAGATGATATTCTTTTAATGTATTCCATACTAATTTTTATTTAAATTTCATTCTTTATCATCTCTCTTTCCATTTCCTAGGTTACTACGGCAACCTCTACCTTCTCACTGATCACCTCTTGGACCTGTATCGTCAGTCCTCAGCCTACAGAAAGCAGGCTGCCATGGTCCTAAATGAGATGGTCAGAGGTGCCGCTGGTATGGCGGCGCAGGCTCGCCAATTGGATGGCGGTGAATTCCAGAGTCGCCCTGCTTCCAAGGAAGACCTTAAAGCAGCAGTGGTGTCGATCATGGAGGAATACACCAGCCTGAACAACTGGCACCTGATAACTGTGAGCGAGGAGACGGACATAGACCGTCAGGATCAGCAGGTAAACAGTTGCATAGCTGAATATATATATATAATAAAAAATAAAAAAAATTGTGAGATTATAAGTGTTTTTCTCTCTTTATTTTATCTGTTAGCTTGTTTTTATTTCATACATCTATACAAATATGAGAAAATTATCAAATAGTGTTGCAAAGTTTATCCAGACCAACAACTTAAGCCGGACATAGACTGTACGATTTTTCTGCCCTTTTCGGGCCGATTCTCCAGTCATGCGAGAATTTTTCGATCAGGCCGACTTTCAGCCTGACCGTGTGTCCTGCGTCATGTAGTATATAGGGGGTAACGAGGGGCGATCAGCCTCTCACGACCACCTCCTGATCAGGAATCATGAGGTCGGGAGAAAATCCAACATGTTTGAAGTTCAGTTGGCCGTCGTAAGGTAACATCAGAAAGTCGGGCCTGTCACTACCTGATCTGTCCCAGAAGCACGATCTGTTCTGTGCTTGCCCCATCAGTAATTTGTGCATGCACATTTTGTTAAAAAGACCTAAAAGACATTTTCCCTCCCCCAAAAAGTAAATGTACTAAAATATAATCTGTTAAAGGTTAATAATGTATTTCCTTAGAAAATAAATGCATTAAAATCCTGTCTGTTTTATCAGTCTTCTCTGCCCGGAAATGGGATCCTACGCTACTTCCGGGAGCTAACTTTTTCGTCTTTGGATTTAAACATAAATCTAGTCTTTTTGAGTTTTTATATTTTCCTTTCATGTTAACATTGTGGTATATAGTGCGTAATCTAAAGAAAGAAACAAGTAAAATCTAGATAAACATGGTTTAGTCATTTTTTGCCAGACTTTGTCAGATAAAGACGTCAGAGAAGCAGTTTAACGAAGAAAATGTAAAAACTATCAAAATTGTCTGACAAAAGTCATACAAAGATGTGTATTAGCATTCTTTAGGGAGTTAACGATAGATATGTAAATATGTAATTTTAGTAGCGTAATTGCATTATGTATATCTGTTCGCGCATGTGCAGGAAGGATCGTGCTTCCGGGACAGATGGGGTAGTGACAGGGCCGAACAGTGTTAGAACATGCATCGTGAGCTGATTGTGAGCTGTGAACTTTTAAAACATGTAGTTTCATCATACAGTTTGAACTGTAGCTGCGTGCAACGATTGAATATATCGCTCAGTGTATGCCCCGCTTAAGCGTCACTGGATTATTTTCTATACCTATACCTATTTCCTGTATCTGTACAGTATGACACTCGCATAACCTGTCAAGTTGTTTTATTTTGGTATTCTTTATCAAAACTTGAGATGTTTTTAAAAAAAAAAATCGTTTAAAACATGAATAATAAAGTTCTTGTATCTTTTCACTTTTCTCCTTCGTCCTAAAGGGATATTTCACTTCATTTATTCCTGCTTCTAAAACATTTCTGCATAGACTGATTGGCAGCCAAGGGTTTATTACACAGATCTTTTTCGCTGATTATGGTGTGGCCAGTTAACAGGTTATTGTCTCTATTAAAACAACTTTACCAAGTGTTTAGAGTAATGCACTACAGAACTAAAACAGAAGTCATTTTTCTTGAAAACAGCATATTTTCCCTTGATTAAAGCAGATAAGAAGGACAATTTTCCAATGGAATATGATGATTTATGTTCAAAATAATAAAACAACCTGATTATCTTATATTAATAGTATTTTTATAAATAAGCCCAGAGTAGTGATGGGTTACAGGGATTTTACAACAGCGGGGCACAACATAAACTTGATAGATTTAAGTGTTCAACTGTTCAATCGCTGCTCCTCCAGCTACCCATCAAAGTTCACCACAAAGATAAAAGTTTAAAAAGCAGCATCCTCTTTAAAGCAAGGACTTCTACGAAAACTGAGAACCATTTATTCTCCTCGTCAAATCAGATTAAGTGGGACGAATGATCATCTAGCAAATACAGCCGGCCTGCTGACATTAGCACAGGAATATTTTGTGCTGCGTTCTTTTTAATTTCTAAAATGTGGATTATGCTGCTGTATTCTAGAACAGCATTCTCAGCCAATCACGTTTAAGAAAAGGAAACATTAGTTTTAAATATCTGATTATCTTCTTTTTAAGGCAAAACTAGTAAATCTATTCCATGCTGTTAAACTGCTCAAATAAAGGATAAATACACTAATTTTAAAGACATTCAAATTATTTCTAGATCACTTTGTTGAAAATTCCCCTACCTTTTTTGTGGCTGTGGGTCAGAGGCACAATTAAAAGGTGCAAACTCTGGCTGACAGTTTTCACCTGTGGGGGAACATTTCACACACAAACAGAAAACTGAGGGGATGAAATGAAAGATGCACAATTTGGTGTTTTAGGCTTTTAAGAAAAACTCTTGAGGCAAACCCAAAAGTCTGACCTGAAAACCTTTGTCTGGGCTGCGCTTCCTGCTCAGTGAGTTTCTCATGCCTGTCTAAAGCAGTCTAAATGCTACAGTCATTTCCCATTAATTTAGCAATTAAAGCCTTTTGGCTTCATCACATGTAACAAGAGAACAAAAGTTAACAATAATTGGTTTGGTTACTTTCGTATTTTTATTTTCTCCAGTTCTTTTTGTTTATAAATGTTATGTGTTAAATGTCTCTGTCCATTTCCCTTTAAATTACACCAACTGTGTTTGAAAAATGTATTTCTGGACTGAACAGCAGAGCTGGCATATAAGATATGCTGATGACAGAGATGGCAAATCTTTATATTCTGCTACTGAGAAGAACCCTACTCAGTTTTCCAGCATCAAATAAATCTGGAAATATTAAAAAAATTGCTTCAATTCAGTTTATTTCTATAGCACCAATTCACAACACATATCATCTCAAGGCACTTTATAGTTCAACCAGATCATACATTCAGATTGATTCAAAGTTTTCTATCTAAGGAACACCAGTTGATTGCATCGACTCATTGACTAAAATACAATCCCTCACACTAAGCATGTGCTTAGTGTGCTTAGCTCCCCCAAGAAAATACAAGAAATTAGCCCGACTGGGGTTCAAGGAGACAGAAGCAGAGATACAAATGGTAACCGTAAAAGGCGGCCCCATCCAGGAAACACACAGCCAGGCAGACGAGCTCCGAGCCAGCTCCCATGTCAGAGGATTAAGAGAGCACATCCAGCCAGTCACAGTCAGAGAAACAGGACTACACTGGAAAACAGGCCAAGCTCGAACATCTAGAAACAAAGGTGTTGATGGCAGCAGCACAGCTGATATTTCTCTCCAAGATGGTGTCACAACCAAACAGGAACAGACCAGATGAAGCTACTATGAGGAAAAAGCAGAGAGAGCAGAACGTTAGAGATTGAACTAACAGATTCTGCAGAGTGGAAGATAGAATGATGAAATAGGGTACCTTTGTCCTCCAGCAGTCTAAGCCTATAGCAGCATAACTATAGAGATGGCTCAAGATAACCTGAGCCACTCTAACTATAAACTTTATCAAAAAGGAAAGTTTTAAGCCTACCCATAAAAGTAGACAGGGTGTCTGCATTACGATTAAAACTGGTAGTTGGTTCCACAGGAGAGGAGCCTGATAACTAAAAGATCTGCCTCCCATTCTTTTATTTTTAATTCTAGGAACCACTAGTAAACCTGCTGATTGAGAGCGAAGTGCTCTGTTAGGAACATAAGGAACAATCAGATCTCTGATATAAGATGGAGCTTGTCCCTTTAAAGCTACAGTGTGTAATAATTACAGGGATATACAGTCAGAAATGTAATATATTATACATAACTATGTTATTTTATCATCATCTACGAGCTCAGCCTCTTAACCTTAATATTTGCGTTGCCTTAGAATTCGTTATTTATAATTACAAAGGAGCGGGTCTCGCAGCCATGGAGGCAGACATCTTTGCGCTACGGCAGCGCAGAGCCAACAAAGTAGCGATTGCGAGATCGCCAAAACGTCACAACAATGTAGAAAAAATAACGGATATATTTATTATCTTAAGTCTACATGAAATCTATACCCTACACAGACTAATGAAATACTATCTGTAAAATTATCTATGTAAACAAACCTCATCACTTGAGAAGGTAGGCGATGCGGACGTCGTGGAAGACATTTTGTCCAATAACGCTCGCCGTACTGTTGGGGGGGAGAAGCGGTGGGGGGGGAGATGTTCATGTTGCTGCAGTCTGCAGTCTGACCGCTAGATGTCGCTAAAAGTTACACACTGTAGCTTTAAGACTTTATATGTGAGAAGGCGGATTTTAAACTAGCAGTTTTAAATGAAAATTTGCTAGTTTGTATTTTTAGTAGCGACTTCCTCTAACAGAAAAAATTAAAGGTTTGAGATATTTCTAAGCACCAATTTAATACCAAAAAAAATATCAGTGGTTTGTCATTTTATTAAAAAGAGACTGATTAGATCCATAATAACATCTTTTTTTTCTCTCTATAGGTGCTGAGTCCTTTCAGTCTCAAGTCCATAACCAGCAGTGAAATCCTCAGTGCTTCAAACTCTCTACAAGTGATTCCTTCTTCCTCCACCTCCCCTCCAACCTCATCATCCACGTCTACGCTCCACCAGCTCAACAGCAACATCTGGCAGCTGTGCATCCAGCTGGAGGGCGTGGCGTGCTTCGCCCAGGCTCTGCGGCGGGACTTCCGCCCTCTGCTGATGACGTCGCTCTACCCAGTTCTGGAAAAAGCCGGCGAGGAGACGCTGTTGGTCAGCCAGGCGGCGCTCAGCACCATGATTGACCTGAGCGAGGCCTGTGGCTACTCCTCCCTGAAGGAGCTGATCAGCAACAATTCGGACTACCTGCTAAATGACGTATCGGTGAACCTGCAGAGGCTCAGTCAACACCCTCAGGTACAGCTGCTGCAGAATAAAATGGTTAAACCCATCTGTCCAGGTCTTTCTAATCTTGTAAGGTGTTTCTCCTATCCTGCTGACCAGGCTCCACGGGTATTAATGGTGATGCTGGCTCACTCGGACTGTAACCTGCTGCCCCTGATCAGGGACGTAGTGCAGGATGTACTGATGGCTCTGGATCTCAGCTATGACCACACAGCTCCTCTCTTTATATCTGTGCTGCACACGCTCATTAAGGCACTGGGTAAGGATACATAACATAATCTAACCTATTGCACATGTCTGGAGGAAGTACCTCCATGAACACTTTGTCATGCCTGTTATGTTGGTGTTTTTATTCCCTTTAGCCAGGTGGTTTCCTCCATCACACCATAGGACCAGTAAGTCGCCCAGTTTCAGGGCTTCTGCTGAACAGGAAGATTTCGACATTTGCCAGTTCCTGCTGGATTACCGCAAGCAGAAGGAGTTAGCAGAGGGAGTTGGGATTGAAGTGGATGAGGATGAAGACCTTGGTAATAATTGGAGATTGTCTCACTGTCAATGCAGTTATGGGATTTATTGGAGCTGGGCGATATGCAACAAATTAATACCTCCACCTTTTTGACACTAGATGTTATAATATAATATTTATCTAAATGTCCTTCTTTTCATAAATTATATTAAAGCCTGAGAAATAAACACAATAAATTATTTAAAAATAACCTACTGACATACAGAAAAGTTCAACTGTAAAAATATAGATCATCTCAATATAAACAATATATTTTTTTTCATATGTCTTAAAATATAATATGTATAATATATATAATTTTGTTCTAACTTAGAAATATTCTCCAGCCCTAGGATTTATGTTTTCCAGATTAGGTTAGAGGTTTAACTCTAATCAAGTTATAAAAGCAGGACTGAAGCAGGCAGCTAACTACACCGTGTGTCTCCAGAGGTCCCTCCTCCTGCAGAATGTGACGATGCTGAGGATCCCGGTGGTCCTGATGTGAAAGCAGAACTTCCATCACACCTCAGCATCACTAAAGAGGTCATGGAGCGCTGCATTCACCTGCTGTCCGACCCGAGCCTCAGGCTTCGACTTAAGGTGAGGCTTCGACAGTGAGGAAATCTTTTATAAATATGTTTTGCATATGTAATCAAATAGACGATTCATTATATTTTATAACATAATTATGACATTTATGGGGCATTTATAATATGACTTTTGTTCCTGATATACTGTAGTAATTGATACGTGAGAATTATTTATTTTGATCATTCATTATTTTGAGTTGTTGTATTACTTAAAACTTCTGATGTGTGAGGTCAGCATTTTTATTGGGGAAGCGTTAAATAATTACCGTAATCCTGTTACTTTTTTATTTGGTGTTTTGAGAATATAATTTTAGGTAATTTTTTTGACGGACAGTTTATTTTTCACAATTTTCTGAATATTGACCAAATATCATTAAAAATATATTCAAGTGTATTTATTCAGAAAATTTCAGGGAGCTGACTAAGTACTAATAGTGCTTCTTAAGAGTTCTGGTCCTTCAACAACTATTTAGGAAATTATTTGATGAAAATATGGATTTTTGATTGAATTTTAATATTGGGTTCTTTATTTACTCCTTTACTTATCATGTCGGGTTTTCTCATTTCTTTTCTAAAATAATAAATAGGTTTAGGGACATGAGGAATGCATATTGTTGTAGACATATTGCTTATCAACAAATAATATTTTAGTTATGATTTCATAAACTGTGTTTTTACTCATTTTTTTAATATATACTAAACACCATTGAAAGTAAATTGAGCATTTTTTGTGGAAAAATGTCAAAAAGACAGGTACTTATCTTAACAATAGTGTTCTGAAAATATTAGGGGAATTTTATGATTAATTAGGGATTAATAATACATTTCTATATTCAGTTCTTTATTTGGTTCTGCTCTTTAAAGAATTTTTTTTTTTTTTTTTTTT